ARGTGACTCATATCAATCCCAAAACATTCTGAATTAACTGAAGTGATGATTTTTGTGGTTAACAATTTTTAAACGTACTACAAAGTTTATGTGCCGCATCCATCACCAATATTCTTTCATTATCGTTACTGAGCCGCACCACCGCAGGTTTTCACACATCCACTTTAGGTGTGATTATGAAAACATCTTTAATTGTTTTATAATAATCATAGACTTCTGATTCACAATCAAATTATGAGAAGTCTAAACTTTCCCAACTCTAATTAGCTTACAGTAAACTTTTAACCCCTCCCAGGTATCTGTGCAGTATAGGAGTCAAACGATACATCAGCCGGCCAATATTTTTGGCCAATATTTGTGTTTTTTCCTTGTATCTGCATCGGCCGATACGTTCGTCCGATCCATTCTTTTGCATGTGTTGCCGCCCCCGCCCTGGGAGAGAGCGGCTGGTAAGACAGAGTTCCAACAACAATATGGGTAAGTTATGAACCTTTAATGTGTTTTATCTCTATTTTAGTTGTTTCTGCCCTCTGTCTCGGACTATGAGGGGGAGAGAACAGCTATGTGTTTAAGTTTCACTTTRGAACGGYAGCGCCATGTTTTTACTTTCACTTTGGCATCGGACTGTGATTAGCGTGTCCACGTTGTTTTTCTTTTAAAAAATGCTGGAAACTGCTCACAGGAGGCATAGAAGAACACTTTTATTCTTCTCCTCGCTGGATTAAAATAAAAAAGCCTTGGGTCTTTTCTCGCTCTTACGTTCATAAGTGTGAGTAAAGAGCTGCCGTCCACATAAACGTGAACGAGGCAGACGTTGCTTATATCACGTTTGCTCTGACCGCAGTCTAAAAGTCTTGAAGTAGGTTTTCTTCAGTGTACATTTCAAACAGATCTAAAGTTAACTTTAGCTGGTTTAAATAAATTTTTTGCCCAGTGTAAAAAAAAACAGGTGCAGACTGAGGAAGAGCTGCTGTGTTTGTGTGTGTAAGTCCTCACAAAGATAGCAAGATGTATGTGTGTGTCTCTCCTTTTCTCTGTGTTCCTGTTTTTGCATTAAAAAATGCTGGGATATTAAAACATGGTAATTTTATTTTATGTAAAAAATATACTACTCTGATTAATATATAAATAAAACAGAATATGTAG